GGAAATTATTTGTCTTACGTGGAGGATTGGAAGTCATCATACTTGCCAATTCTGAAACTTAATCGTGATAGAATACCAAAGTTAGCAGAAACCTGAACTTACCAAAGTCTCTCCCAAAACTTATTAAAGATTGAGCTAAACCTTGCTGCTACTCAATTGATTATGTGTTTCAGTCCGCCTAATCAATAGTTGGGTAACAATAGATTAAAACTAATTGCAACGTAAGTTGCAACATTAAAAGTTGCAACATATTAATTACAGTTCCCATCTTTATTTACCACTATATCTTGACTCAGATTTTATTGAATTTAAATTAAAATTAACCTAAAAATGAATGATTAGATCTGTAAAATTACATTAACAAATTCCTATTTTACTTATGCATATTATTTAGGCATGCTAATCAATACGTGTAAAATTCTTAAAGATTTAATTTGATAAAATAAACTCTATATTATAAAAGAGCAGCTGATTAAACTTATTTTATTTTAAAAACAATTTATTACAAATTTACTGTATAAAATTCATAACTTTATTTACAATTAAGTGATTAAAAACAGTTGATTATCAAATATTATGTTAGCTATTTTAACTTATAGTACTCATTTTTTTAATAATATGATATAGTTCAAATTTTAAATTTTTTTTTTATTTTTTTTATTTTTATTTTTTAATTATTTTTACATTTTTATTTTATTATTTATTTTAATATTATTTTAATACTTTATTATAAACAGATTTAGATTACTTTATATTTTAGATGCAATTTGAATTTATTAATAAACAAAGTGTAATGATATACAGAAATATTTGAGAAATATATAAAAAAATTAAAAAAAACAAAAAAAAAAAAAAAACAGACATATAGAAGAAGACTATCTAGAAATTATATTAACAACTAAAAGAAAATAAAATATCTTGCTATAAAAGAGAGAAAATAAGCATATTCATAAAAAAAGCTAAAGCATATAATAAGTATAGTTTAATAATAGCTGAAGCATATAATATCCCTTATAATTAAAATTTAGTAATTTAGTAATTAATTATGAAAATAAATATTGAAAAAAATATCAAACTTCTTATCTCTTCTAAAGCTATAAAAGAATATTAAAATTTCTTTGAAATGTGTTTATGTCTCTTATCAGAGCTTGGGCTTATTCTACAGTTTTCAGTCCTTAAAATCAGGTGACTTTTGATTGTAATAAGTTAATTAGAAAAGAAGGCTATTATAACTTAAAATGAGATCTCTATAGGTTACTCTAATTGTTTAATATCTCATTTTATACCTATTAGAAGAAACGTGAGAAAAGAGTTCAGTCAGTTTAACATTTAAATTTTTAATTTTAGTTATGAAATGTTTAACTTATTTTAGAGTAATGCTAAATTAACGTTAGAGTTGATAGACTTTACTTTTAAATTATTAATAATTTGACAGTGATTCTTTTTCTATTAAAAGTGAAGGCTAGCTTATCAGATATTGAAAAATCATTAGTATTGAGATTTACCTATTTAAAAAATTTTTAGTTAAAAATTAAAATTATAGGAAAATTAAAAGAGAATTTAATAAGCTATTTATAATTGAAAAAAGTGGCTGTGTAGTTTCTCATTTTGTAGAAAAATAAACAAATAATTATTGGTTCATATTTGTTAATAATTATTATATGATAACTCTTGAAATAAAATCTATTTAAACTAAAAATAGTGTGATTGATCATTAGAATTAATAATCACATAAACATAGAATGATTTTAAACAAATCAGAAACTTTATTATTAGAAATTTGTGAACAAGAAAATTAATAATAAGGAATACAATTTATTGAAATTTAAAGGATATTATTTGACATTCATTCTTTAAGAAGGGAAATATTAATTGAAATATCTTTTAACTTAATAATTATATTTTGATAATAATATGATTATTAAAGCCTTTTTATTAAGAGTTTCCAATAAATATAAGCTCAAGATTATTAGATCAATAAAAGTAGAGATAATTTGAAAGTGTGATTACTATTATAACTCTATAGATCACTACTAAAGAAAGCCATAATTTTTTAAGTCGCAACCTAACAATTAAAATAACTGAAACCTTAGAAATTATAATAATATTGTTAACTAAGTTTATATAGTTATTTAAGTTTAATAAGTTTCTTTAGTTTACTTAGCTAAATTAGTTAAATTAGTTAATATAATTAATAAAGTTTATAATGTTATTTTAGTTTTACTTTATCTTTAATTAATAATAGAAGTAGATCAAATATTTTATATAAATAGAATAGAAAATTGCTGTAGTAAAAGAAAGGTTCAGTTTAGATTTAGCTTAGTCTTAGTTAAATTAATTAAAGAATTAATTATGAAATTTGTATTTTGATAAATTCATGAATAAGAGCTTATTTAATTTATTGAATCATATTGATCCACTAATATTTTATTAATAAACTAACTTTATTCTTATAATATTGGTCTGTTAAACTTGTGATCTAAAACCCAATTCATCAATTATTATTGCTCTCCCTACATATTCAAAAGTATTCTTACATATTCCCAATTTATATTTATATATTCTTAATATTTCCTGTACTTATAAATTGATATACTATTAATTCAATAAATTTATTAATATGAATAAGTTCTTAAAATTATTAAGTAAAATCATTATCCTTCAGATACCTATAACCTTGCTATATGTGTTGAAGTCTATTTTACAGTCAGTATACTTCACAATTGATTGTATAACAATATCTTTAAATTTTATAATTTGAAAAATTATTAAAAAAAAGTTCAACTAAAAAATCTTTATATTACTTGATTTAAAAACTCAATTATAAAGAAATACTTAAATGAATATATAATAAATTGTAGTGTACAATTAATTTAATTAAAGTCTCTGAAATTACAATAACATTAAATTAAATTTTGCTACTATTTAATTAATTAAGTATCTTAATCCACTTAATTATAAGTTAACTAATAATAGATTTATTTTCTAATATTATATAATTCTAATTAAAATTATATAAAAATAAAAATTTTATACATACCATACGTGCAATACAAAATTTCAAAACGGTGTGAATAGTACGAGTTAATTTTGAATTAATTATAATTTAGGTCAGAATTTATGAAAAATCGAAAAAAATGATTTATTATATTAGGATTTGTTAGTTAGCAAAGGGGGTGTAAGCTAGGGTTGTATAGCACAGAACTTATATGGAAACATTTAATAGGATGACATTTCAAGATGTAAATTAATGAAATAATTTTATATTCAAGAATAGCATAACCGAATGTTTAAGCAAGCTAGTTAATTTATTAAATTGTTATAAATTTCCGTAGGAAGTGATAAAATTTCGTTGTACTAATGTGGAGTGTTATCGAGACGCTTAACTGTTCAAATAGATTGGTTGATTATTTATCATGTCATAGGTTACCGTGATAGCACTCATTTTTTTATGAGTTCGAGTGATAAAAATTATTTCAGAGAAATACTTCAAGGTTATTTATTATTTAAAAAAATTATTTTTGTCAACGTTTTAAAAGTTAATTCATTTACAGTGGTTTCGAAAGTCTTTTCTTTTCCTTCTGAAAATTTAGTGTTTGTTAAAAAAAATGACATTTTGTTATAATTCGAGTTGTTGAATCCGTTTTCGAAGCTCGTTTAATTCATTTTCCAACTTGGAAATATATTCATTTGCTTCACTTAAGCTCAATTTATTTTGTCGCGACTGTGCAACAGAGCAAGATGATGAATCAGATGATTTATTTGCTAAAGTATTTTCAGAAAAAGAATTCGATCGACTTGTATTATTATTATGAAAATTTTCACGATTTTCTTTCCGAACGTTAAATGATAAAACAGGGGTTGGAAAAGTCACTTCCCTGAAATGCTGCCCAACTTCAAGGTCATCATTTTGTGAAAGATCCGGAAAGACGGAACGTTGATCATCGATAATTTTTTGTTTCCACCAATAAATTGGATATTTATTTTGAATATTGATTAATATTAACGATATTAAAAACATTAACGTCACGCCAAGTAATATCGGAACAATCGCAAATAAATAACCGAGAGAGGTGATTTTTGGATCGTCTAATGCTATCATTAGTGCTGTTGCGCCAGCCGGTGGATGAATTGTATTAGTCAACTGCATGGCTAACATTGATAGAGAAACTGCTAACGCGCATGTTAACCATTTGTAACTGATGGGATTTGTAGTGAAGGATGTGATTTCTTTCATTATTATATTCACCGTGATTCCAATTAATGACGACGTTATATGTCCTAAATCTAAAAAAGAAAGTTATACAAAGTACGGGCGACTTTTTTTTTTCAAAGAATTAGAAAGGAATTGATATATTGATTGAACGTACATAGATTCCTTGGTTGAGCAAATGGTGAATCGCAAGTACCATAAATCATTATAGCGGTCGCTCCCATACTACCAATACTAACAGGTATTTCTCTTTCTCGAAAGAATTCAATATTCCAAGTGAATAAACCTAAAGTTCCAATGCCAATAAATGAAGTGATGAATGACCATATGACGATGATGAAATGCGACGGTTTAGGTTGTGGGTCTATATTAGAATATTTTGAACCCAAATATCTACGAAAATAATATTTTATCGATCTTGAAAAATTGTTTTGTGCGTTATTATGATTTGCGTAAGAGGAACTCATTGATGTTGAAAAAGGAAAAAAAAAAAAGTTCGGTTAATTTATGCCAAAAAAAAAAAAGGTATTTCTAGCAAATTCCCTTATTTTTTAATTCATAATTTTCGCTCGTATGACATTTTCAACCTTTTTTAGCCACGGTTTGTATTTAGGAGGTAAGCTATTCACGGGATTATACGTAATATTTTATTATTAATAATCTGATCTTTTAGAGTTTTCCACAAATTGGGATGATTGCTTGGTAAAATCAGGTTTTGGGAAAACTTTAGATATTAGTGTAAAATGCAATGTCTTATTTTTAGTTAAACAATTCAGCTAATGACCAAATTTATATCATAATTTTATTAATAGATAAATACAGTAAATTAAAATAAAATTAACCAAAAATTTCTACTCCTTCTTTCTGCCTTTAGCAATCAAATATTTAAAAGTATATTCCTTTTGATCTTTTTCAAGAAATTTATTAAAAGTAAATGCAATCTCAACTTTAACATCTTCTAAAACTCTTGTATTCAGGAAGACTTCCTCGATTTCATTATGATAAAAACCACCTTTATGAGCTACAGTGTGTTCAACGTGTTTATGTTTATCTTGAAAGTATTTAAATTTATCAACAAGTTCAGGATCTTTGGTTATATCCAATACGATCAATTTTCCAGATGGTTTCAAATATGAGGCCAGAATACGTGTAATGGCAGCAATATCACTAATATGGTGATAAGCGGAAGCGCACTTTTTTTTTTTTTATTTTGAAGAAAGAGTTACCGCGAGTTAGATAAATAGAATATGACTAAATGAATCAACCTGAAGAATCGAAATACCCACCACGACGAAATCGAATTTTCTTCCATCTAATTGATCACCTTCAGATTCTTTCAGATCCAAACAAATAGCTTTCATTTCACTTTCATCAATACCTTGTTGCCAGATTTTTTTATTAAATTCATCAACCATGGCTTGAGCCGAGTCGACACCCATAATAGATTTCACATAAGGGCACAACGCTTGAGAAATCAATCCTACGTCGTTACAGTAAAAAAAAAAATAAAAATAAATTCAAAAGGGTAAGATATTTAATTAATTTTTTATAACAATATACCTGTTCCACAAGCAAAATCCATAACCTCGGTTTTATCTGGATCCAATTCACTCTTTATTTCATTAATGATTGCTTCGCCACATTTTTTTGCAACCATTAAATTAAATGGATCTGATTCCATATTTTTGGCCTCGGAATTAAAATGAAGTTTATTGTGATAAGCGAAATTATCATCATTGGATGAGAAAGGGATTTGATCAGAAGATGACATTTTTTCCAAAATTATCACGATTTTTAGGGTTGAAGATCAAAACTTTGTCTCGTTTAAATACAAAATTTTATTGAGCTTGCCCGATTTGGTTTTTATACTTTTGTATGAAAAATTTAGATTGTGGCGCGGTATTGCGTAAAAGTTTTAATTGCGTCATGAATGGCACTTCGTATTCCCATTTATGTCGATCAGGTGACATACATGTATATGAGGTAAAACAAGTGTTCGAAGTTCGGCGACGTGATAAATAAAGGGGAAAAGCCGCGAAGACGTAATAAGTGTCGTTGCGTCACCGAATACGACCGCAGTTCGTTTTTCATGCGTGTACGTTGATGATTCTCATTGCATTCATTGCATTTGGACAAAACATAATCTGAAACACCATACGTTTCGTGTACATACATGCCATACATATTCGTGTTATCTTTTTACCCAAACGGTCAATTTCGGTTAATTATGTTCATGAAACTTTTTGCTGCGCATCAAAAGAATCCCTTCGACCATTGTGAGAACGTTTCTAGTAAATTTTTTTTTCCTCTCACACCTTTAGATTGACCTTTTTATATAAGTTCTTTGTCATAAGGATCACAATTTCCACATACAATCTCATTCTTTCCTTGATCTTTTTTTTTTTTTTGCATATCTTAAAAATCATCATGCTTATTTTTTTTTTTTTAATTTAACCTAAAATTTTTTTCTCAAATCCCTCGAATAACCTAAAAAATCCTAGACAAAACGTATAACCAAACTTTAACTTTATAAGTTAAAATTGGTTTCATTATGATAATGGATTTGCAAACTATTTGATTAAAGGCTGAAAATATGGTATAACACACTTTTGTAATTCATTATTAACTAATAATAATTTAAAAAAAGAATATATAAAAAATATTATATATAATCAATGAGCGACAATAATTTGAAATCTTGTACAATATTTCATCAACAATAGCACAGCAATCAATCACACAGCTCTTATTAATTAATGTTCCCAGAGGAACGCTTTTTTTATACTCAAAGATCGAAGATGATTTTCAAAAATCGGCAATGTAATTAACATTGGACGAACTTGTACGAATTATCAATCGACAAGAAATCATTTGAAATAAAAAAGGGCTCTGCCAATAACACGATTATGACGTTGTAAAACCATTGTGACAAAAGAAAGTTGTGAATGCATCATTAAAAACTACCCATGTGATGAAACCATCGTGTGCATGTTTGTTTTGCCCTTGTTCTCGAGAAAATATTTATATATTTGAAATTAAACGAGAAAGGACTCTTTTTCCTCCAACATATGATTTTCGCTCGAAAAAAAAATATTTTTTTTGATTGTGATTGTACTGTGGATAAAAAATAAAAATCATTTTACGCCAAATATTTTTTTTTAAGCTTTGTAATTCATGTGATTGAATTGATTAAATGATTAAAAGCTATAAAAATCCAAGGGTGTGAGAACAAATTATAATCGCATCTAGCATGTAATCAATGACCTGATTTAGACTTTACACTTTCACTCACTCAGTCTGCCGTTACATTGCATTGCATAATATAAATTAATTTTTTCATTAAACTTCCTTAATAATTGAACAATTAAAATAAAATAAACCACACAAGAAAATTTTCCCTTTTTATTTATTGAGACCACAATTGGTCCTCATAATGAAAAAAAGTCAAATATAAATTCTGTTTAGCAAGGTCCCTTTTCGGACCTGTCATGCTTTTACGATGCTAATTAAATATTAATTAAAACTTGTTTGTCGTATGACATGTATTAGGAAAGTTCTACCAAATATTTTTGGTGTTCGCTTTAAAACATCTACCTTTGTCTCCTTATTTTTCGGCCAATGGCCTACCGGGATTGCATTCCCTTTTTTGGTTTTTGGGCATATAAAGTTTACGGTTTTTGAAAGTTAAACTCCCGCCTTTTTACTCAAAAAAAAAACCTTTTCTTTTTTTTTTTTTCTTTTTTGTTTGGTTTGGTCTAATAACAAGAAAGATAAAAAAAAAACTATATTTCCTTAATTACAGTGGAGTTTTTTTTTATCATTTAATAAATTACTCATTAGATTACTTAGAGAATACATACATTTATTGTATATATTGTATTTATAAAAAGGTTATCATAATTAGGTTCATTTGATTTTTAACTTTTCTACAATCAAAGAGAAAACTACTGCATATCACCTAATGTTAATGGGAGTTCAAGAAGAGCGACATAATATAACAAAAATTTAAATACCTAAAAAATATTTATCATTTCAGTTAGATAGCTATTTCATCATTAAATATTTTTAAAAAAAAAAATATGGAATCAAGTAAAAATATAATTGGACAAGATGCTCAAGCTAAAAAATTATCCTTATCCCGTTCAAAGTCCACCTCAAATAAAGTTAAAAATAACAAACCGTCTAGTATAGTGACCTCAAATTTATCAAATATCAGTAAATCCAAGGTTGATAAACCAAAATCTCCCACCTCATCAAAGGATGCCTCTTCTTCACGCAACGTTGAAAGAAAAAAGTCCATCAGTGGTACCCCTTCTACGATCGGTCCTTTGAATAAGAACAAAAGTGTTCAAACAACGACGACGAGAAAACAAAAGGTTGGAACGATTTCTTCAAATGTGTCTGCATCTGATGGTTCCAGCCCAGACAATCTGTTAGATAGAAGGCCTTCCGCTCCTCCAAAATTAAATTTGGCATTTAAAAATCATCGTATTGTTGCCGCTTCTCAACAAATTTCTCCAAACGATTCTTCAAGCAAGAATTCTTTGGGTAAAGTTTCTCCAAGCGTCGCTACTCCTCCTTCACTTATGTCCCCAAAAATAAGAGAATTACGAAAATCTGAACCTTTTCAATCAAAACCTTCCGGCAAAGATACTTCCGATGACGATACTTCATCCGTTACGTCATCAAAGGTCAATAAGAATAATAATAATAAACTTTCATCATTTACCTCAAAGTCACGTCGTGTTCCCGCAAAAACTCATGTCAAAAAGAAAACTTCCGCCTTATCTTCTTTGCCTAAAGCCGAATTAAATAAAGAATTGTTGGCTAGGTTAGAACATCAAAATTCTCAACTTCCGCCTCAGGTAAATAAAAACTCGTTTTAAAATTTTTTTCACATATATATATATATATGTATATTCAAAATCTTTTTTTTTTCTCTTTAGGATTCGACTCAATTCTTATTGGCACGTCTTGAAAGGCAGAATGAAATGTTGGATAATGATCCAAAATCGGTTTGCATCGAATCCAACGTACTAAAGGCAAACATGGAGGTCGTGCAATCGTTAATTGATGATATAACAAGTCCAATAACTGATGCTTCGGGTCCCGAAGATCTTTCTTCTTCTCTCTCAGTCATGGAGCATCGTGATTTGAACGATGAAGAAACGAAGAAGATCGATTGGGATTTTTGGACGGCGTTGATTCAAGATTACGCTGCCGTTGCTACAAAATTGCCTCATCTATTGTCTGCAAAATTACAACAAGGTTTACCTATGAAATTAAGAGGTTTGATTTGGCAGTCAATGAGTCAGGCTTCTTCGACTTACTTGGAAACCATGTATAGTCAATTATTATTGGAATCTTCTCCTTATGATAGAATTATTCAACGTGATCTGGCTAGAACTTTTCCAACCGTGGAAATGTTTAAAGAGGAGAATGGACGTGGTCAAACAATGCTTTGGAATGTCTTGAAAGCTTATAGCTTATATGATCCTTTAGTTGGTTATTGTCAAGGCCTTGGTTTCTTGGTCGGACCTTTATTAATGAATGTAAGTTTTCTTGACGTGTCTTTTTTTATAATAATAATAAAAAAAGGAAATAATAAATAATAAGGGAAGGAGATTTTCTTTAACTCTTTTTTTTTTCCTTCTTCTCTATCATAGATGAGTGAAGCTCAAGCCTTCTGCGTATTTGTTCGGTAAGTTGAAAAAGGCTCGTGATTTCCTTCCTTTTAAAAAATACGTTCCAAACTCACGTAATGTTGTATAATGTAGGTTGATGGAAACATATGATATGCGTACCATGTTTACGTTAAATATGGAAGGTCTTCAACTAAGACTTTATCAGTTCTCTTGTCTTCTATCACAAATCATTCCAAGTTTGCACTCTCATTTCCGTCTTCATGGGATTCACGAAGCGATGTTCGCATCACAATGGTTCCTTTCCTTGTTCGCTTATACATACCCGCTTCCTTTGGTATTCAGGATATATGATGTGGTGTTTGCTGAAGGTGCACCTGAAACCATCATGCGAGTTGCCATAGCATTATTGAAAAAGAATGAGGAAAAATTATTGGAATTGGGAGAATTTGAAGAATTATTGGATTTCTTGACTACGAAATTATATGATACCTATAATAATGAGCCAACCAGTTTGATTCAAGATGCCATGGAATTGAGTTCCGTTATTACAAAGAGTAAATTGGATCAATTATCGGAGAATTATGTAAACGATATTGAAGACCAAAAGAAACGTACGGAAGAATTGGTCGCTGTCAGATTTAATGGTAGATACGGTCGATCAAAGAAAGATAAAATAAAGGATGAATCAAAGAAGAGAGATAAACGACCCGATGATGGAAAATCGAAACGATGGTCATTTAATTCTGCTTCATTACCAAATTCAAGACATTCTGTCGCTACGATGCAAAATTTAGTTAGGTCGAGTTCCACATCAAGTGACATTTCCACGTCATCCGACAACGAAGCTCCAATCCCAAAGACACCATTAACTCCAAGCTTCTTCTCAAGTAGTACTAGCATAGGGGTGTTACATCAACAAATTGAGGATTTAGTGACGGCCCTATCACACTTGCAGAAAGAACATGCCGATGTGACGGGTCAACTGGTAACCATTAAGATGGAAAAAATGGATTTGGTGAATGAAGTGGAAGGGTTAAATAACCAATTAAGAGGATTAGAAAAAGAAAATAAGAGGGCGTCAACGTCCTCGTTGATCTCAGTAGATTCTGCAATGACATTGAGTAATGATGAGGGATTCGAATCTGGAAGAACCACTAGGATCGCTTCTCCGATCACTCCAAATCCAGATCAAAAGAGCGGATATGATCACGTGAAAAATTTAGTGCATTACATCGGATCCAAGTTCGATATTTCGGATAATGAAATATTGAAAATGAGAAGATCATCGGCCCCGGCGACTTCTCTTACAGAATCCCAATTATCATTGATATTGAATAATAACAATGCTAGCGATTCTACAGGCGTTTCATCAAAGGATAAAAGTTTTGGCTTGGTTGAAGAATGGAATGATGAGAGTAAAAAGCAGTACTCCTTGGAATTAGCTCTTACCGAAGAATTGATTCAAGTTAAACGAGAGAAATTTGATTTAATGTTGGAGAATCGAGAATTGGTAAAGAGGAATAGTGAGTTAGAAAATGCTTTAGAAAATTCTCATCAAATTCAAAAATCGTTAAAAGACAAAAATAGCTTTTTAAGTAAGGAAATTGAGAGATTAGATGAGGAAGTCGCGCAAGCATTATATGAAAAGAATTCAATGAGAGAAGAAATTAAAGCTGTAAAACCTCTTCGAATTGAACACATCCGTGCTAACAGAGAAAACGAAAAATTAAAACTAGAATTAGAAAATGTCGAGACAAGGTTGAGGCAATATGAACCTGAATATATTGGAAATAATGATTGGGTTATAACGATGGAAGAAATAGACGAAATTTTATCAGCCACCACGCCAAAATCTTCGAGAAGAGTTAGTTTTTTAAATTTCTTTGGGGCCATAACGCCAACTGGATCAAATGGAGGTTTCATATTTCCTACATGTACAATAGAAAGTTGTACGTCAACAAAAAAATGTGATGATTTAGAAAAAATGTTGAAGCATGTTAAAATGTTATTGGTTGAAAGCGAAGCGGCAAGAGGTCAGCTTAGCTCTCATATAGACGAATTAAATAGTATGATTAACGGATTTGATAATTTATACGACGATGATATATTTCAATCCGTTGGAGAAACAGAAAATTCTTTCCAAAAGAAACCTAAATCTGAAAAAAGGTTATCTACGAGTTTAGCTGCTTTCTTTGGAGCTGCTTAAACGTTGCGCCCTATTTTTTATTTTTTTTATTAAAAGCAATTATTTCGGATAAAATCGACTTTCGACAATTTTTTTTTTACAATTCGTAATTCTTATCGTGAACACAAACATTTAAAATTTTTTTTTCCTTCCTTCCTTATTTTATACGTTATTTTCGTTCTAATTTTCTATCGTTTTCATTTATCTTTGTACTTTAATTTTTTTCAATTATTTGGATTATACAGTTTATAATCTATTTTTATTATAATGTTAACTTGTATTTATTTGGGCGCGTTAGAGTTCGGTAATAGAAAATTATATTTGTATTCTTGCGTTGGTTTTTTTTATTAATTTTCGGTATACAATTTAATCCCCTTTAAATGAACATCAATAATAATTCTTAATATCTTTAGAAAAAAAGTATTACTTTTAATACCCAAAGTATTACAAACAATCAGAGAGAACCAAACAAAAAAGGATTTCTCAAAAATATTCTTTTGATGTTTTCTTTTTTTTCTTTGAGTAATACTCAAGGATATATTATATTATATATATAATATATATAATTTTTTAATTTTTTTTTTTTTTTATAAATCATTTTCATTTGATCTTTTTTTTATTTTATTTTACCCCTTTTTTATACCTCGCTTTCTTAAAAAAAGATCACTTTTTTAAAACAACCCCCACTTTATGTTAATAAGCTTTATATTTATTTTTAAGTTCTTACCTTTTTTTTGAAAAAAAAAAATACACTTGTTTTATTTTATTTTAATTATTTTATATATATATATATATATAATGATTTTTTTCTTCCTTTCTCTTGTATTTTATTTATTTTTTTTTCCTTTCTATGTTTTATGTGAATAAAGTAAAAAAAAAAAAAAAAAAAAAAAAATGTAAATTATTATTCTGAATTCATTTTAAAAAATTTATTAATAAAACATTTATTGTTTCATAATGATTAATTAATATACATTAATTTTATCCGTTTCTGATTCTATATACATTATCGTCTTGCGTGACAATCATCTGACGATTTCCGAAACTCTTTCTAGATTTGCCCGAAGTTTTCAATTTATTTCTAATCTAATTATCATTATAATAAACATTCAATTCAATTCAAATTTTTTATTAAACAAAACAAACAAATAATAAATAATATATACAAATATTCATTTGAACTATAAAAATCGGATAATAAGAAATGGTTAGTGATAATCATAGATCTATGCATGAATGTATTTATACATATTTATTATACATACAATTTCCGGAATCCATTCCAATTTCACGGGTTTAATCTCTCCGATCAATTTTCTCGCTCTATCCAACACAGAGTCAGAAAACATAAATTTTCCACTTTTTCCAATATTGAAACCGACTTTCTTTAAATATCCATTATTTTCGGCGTAATTCGTGATCACATCCAAAACTCTATCATTCGTCATCTCCTCATTGAATAAATTCATTTCGTGTATTTCCACAGTTAATGATTTTAAGAAAGTGTCCAATTCATTATCACTTATCAATGCAAATATTCCCAAGTTAATTAAAGAAGTAGGAAAAGTTTTAGCTAATGATTGAAGATTTTGAGATTTCCATCGTCCTTTTCTTGTTTCCGAGAGAACCAATTTTTGTAATGATCTTAATGAAGGAAGAATTTGCATTATATTTGAAAGGTATGAATCTGATATGAAAATAAATAAACTTTTCAAGTTCACAAAATGTTTTTGAATTATTTTAAGTATCCTTGGGGTGACTTCATCCAGGTTAAGTGATTGAAGGTTATGAAATTTTGCGGATTTAATAAGTGATTCTAAACAAATTTTCGTTGTATGATTTGATTTCAAAATGTATAAATTCTTGAGGTTGATAACCGGAAGCCTATCTCGAAAATTTTGTTGAAGTTGTTCATTCCCAAATTCATGATAATTATAAAGTACCAATGATTCCAAATTCGTGAAAAATTTTAAAACGGAAACTAATGTATAAATATTAATGATTCCATTCAATTTCAAATATTTCAATGTATCAAATTGACTCGTTATGATTGAATATGCTTCAAATATAGAAGTTTTCTCCCACGATTCAAACTCTAAGCTGGTAAGATTTGATTGTGCTCTAATTAATTGAAGAAATGCTTTTAATATTTTAATGGATTTGATATTTCCAATATAGATATGTTGTATATTATTCGCGAATAAAGTTAAATTCCTCCCGATATTCGTAATAACTTCAAGTTCTTGACAATCCCCTATTAACATATGATTACAATCAAACTTGAATTGGACGAGATTAATCAAACCACGTTTCAATCCATCGAATGATACTTGCAAACATTTAAAGTCTTGACAAAGATGATGACTTATGGTTAAATTATGTAAACCTCTCGAATTACGAAACAACATGTTTCCAAGCATTTCCACAAAAAATTTCGTTTTTTCCAAATTATCCTTGCTCAACTGTCGTTTAGGTCGTCGAATTTTAAGCCATATTTTAATAGCAACCATAAAATTTTCCGTATCAAAACTTTGTAAATATTCAGGATAATTGTATAAAAGAGGAATTCGTTGTCGTGGCAATTCAAATCCATGATTAATAAGATGAATTTCTTCATAAGAGTTAAAACACGAAATATATGTGTTGATAATTAAGTTGGAACTTTCTTCGATAATATCAAAAGGATTGCTCCAAAGGGTGGGTACAACTATATTACACCAAGTACGATTTACAAAAAGTAATTTATAAAGTGTCTTTTTATTATCCCTGGCCTGCTCAATAATCTCTTTAATACACACCGGAGGAAGTTCTGGCATGACTTTATTATTTAGAACCGACATGTTTATTTATGATAAATGCGTCTTTGATAAAAAAAAAAAATGTTTAGAAGATAAAAAGAGAGCGAGATAACGAGGAAAAAAAAGGGGGAGGCTCAGAGAAGATATAATTGAAAAAAAAAAAAAATTTCGAGATCTTTTATGCGCTAAAAATTCTAGTACAAAAAAAAATTCGGTAACGTGACTTATCTTTTGCCAAATGATTTACCAACTAACCCAAAATTACCTAATTGAATACCTTAAAAAGAAATTTTGGGATATCATCCGACTTTTGTTCGAGAATCACAGCATATACGACCGGGTCGGAAAAAAAAATATTATTTTTCAAATTAAATTTCAATAATATTTGTCCGATTTTTTGAGTATCATCTTTTTCTTTTTCGTAATGATCTGCAAAATAAATTGTCTTATCTTTGGTGTTGAATTATTTTATGTTAATCACTTAGGGTAACCATTTATTTTAGACCTAAACCCCAGTTCAGGGTGAAAATTATGAACCTTTGGGGTTTAAGCCAGCCAAAGTTTTAGGGACGATATTGAACTTTAACCGATAGTTGGATGGTTTTCTTTAGTTTTGTGTTGATCAACAATAATTACGAATTCATTTTTTCTCTTTTGCAGCGCTTTGTTATTTGTTAACATATGTAAAAACAAATTATAAAGCTATCCTCAGTTGTTAAGTGAATTCATTTTAAAAAAAATTCGACTTATACGGAGTTTATTTTTTGATAAAAACAGAAAACTCGATTTTTCTAGAATTACAGAGTTCTTTAATATTACTTAAAAGGCAATTTGCGGAAATCAAAAAGCAAGTTGCTGGGTCAATGCTCTAAAAAAGTATATCAAAATACATTTCGCTTTCAGTTCTTTTCATCCATTTCTTTAATTGCAGTTGATAGCTGAGATGTAATATTTTTTTTCGGCGTCCACCATGGTTCGCTAATAAAATTGGACTTGTAATGTGATCGCTTGACGTGATCAGTCTTCTTAAAGATATACTCAAGCTTATTATACCCGTGATCAAGTTTATCAAGCATGTTACTAGTTTCTTCATATGTTTCCTGTGCATAAATACTATCAATTGGTTTTCTTATATGTTTAAAATAAATGACCAACATAACTTACCAATACATATTTAAAGATTTTTACGGTTGGCCTTAACTTGTGAATTTGAGATAATTTCGTTGGCAGTTCAAACGATGACCCAGGAAAAACCAAATAAAATCCATTTACTAAATCTTCAAGCAACATTTGTCCATATGTTCCGGCAACTTGTAAAAATGGCACTTTTGCTATTTTCGCTTGGTCATCCATTAAGTTCAATTTTAACATGCCATTTAGTATGGACTGATTAACTCTTGCAGATCGACAGCGGTCTCCAATCGCTTTTGTAGCATTAGCATGCACGGCAAACTCCCATTCGCCAAGATCAACACTCGAGGAACTCAAAAATCGGACATCACACTTTCGCCCTTTTTCAAAAGTTTCTGATCTGCTCAAAGGGCAAAACGATTCACCCCTAAATGTAATTCATGAGTTTAATAGTCTGCCATAAAATAAATAATAGTAAGATCAAGCATGATTTTATTACCATTTATAATAAATTTTAAGGCCCTTAATCAGAGCTTTTACAATATATGATGTTGCCTTCGTGATAATGTCAACTTCAGTGTAACTTTCATCTCCACAATCCAGCATATTCGTTCCGTCTTTAACCTCAAATAGACTATATAAGAATTAGAAGACAAAGAAAAATGTAAATAAAGAAAAACGGGAATAAAGAAAAAAATAACTTACAAATCATCATAAATTTTGCTAATTTTATACATGCACGAATTGAATGCTGAGTTTGTGTTTTTCCATGCAAAATTTATAAGCATTGTTTGGGTCATTTCGAGCCATCTAAGCATAAAACGAAAAGGTGTAAATGATACATTATAAACAAATATATTTTATACACATTAATTACCTTTTCCACTTCAGTGATAAAAAATTAACATCATCTTCCAAGTCGGGAACTTTAAGGATGGTTTTGTAATTTTCTTTCATGAATTCAAGTTCTTCAACGGTAAACCAATCCTGCATATGGGCTGAAAGGTCAATTAATCTTGACACAGAATATCTCAATGTTGATCTTTCTATTGCTGTTAATGTTTCCCTGCCCTTTGTAGATTTTGCAAGTCGCGAAACATTTTTACTAAAAATATCATTAACGTCTTGCCCAGATGGCAGCAGTACCCACTTCTCTGCTGTGGCTGGCACGCATTTTATAATATTATCAAACGGAGGGTTTTCTTCTTCATCCTCATCCACTAATGCTGGGAATTCTTCCTCATAATTTCTGGCGGTGAAGTCTGGCTGTGGTGGTGGATTTGATAGGACTGTACCATCGGGAAGAACATTACCTACACGTGTCTTTTGCTAAAATAAAAAAATCAAAGATCTTTAATCTCAAACTATGCATTCCCGGAAGAAGATACTCACAGACTTGGAAATATCATCATTATAATTTGGAGGGTGAACAGGGAAATAATCGTCTATTTTTTTCCGTTTTATAGGAGTGGTCTGACCGTTCTAAAAGATTAAAATACAATAAGATTCGTTCTGCTGTTTCTATATAATAGCTGGAAAACAAATGGAAAAATGCCATAGGTACCTTTTCAAAATCCTCTTTTTGATTTCTTTTATTTGACGGATTGAAAGTTCCACTATTGACTCCAATTACAGAGTTGCCCGTAATTGCATTGTCGGATGGTGAAAATGAACAGAGGGTCTATCAACTGATTTATGTTCCTTTTCCCACTTTCTTGATTTATGATAATCGGGCTGAGCACTCTATATGGAAGATTTAGTGAATCAGTGAATTAATCATATATATATATATATTTTAATGAATAACGTGCATCCTCCCAGTTCAGCTAGAAGCTTTAAACGTTAGACAGCCTAGAAGGCCATCTGGGCCCTGGAAGGGCAAGTGTCAGGTCAGCTAGAAGCCTTGAACGTCAGACAGCCTAGAAGGCCATCTGGGCCCCAACACTCGCTTTGTGGCTCAGCTAAAAGCTTTGATGAGAAATGACCTAGAAAGCCACTTCCATGCCACCAATTTCCTGATTGCATACCCCCAAAAAAGTATACTCGCCTCTTTATATTGGTTGAGCAAAATCTGTGCCCTTTCACGTCTACTGCTTTGTTCACTACTGGCAATTTTTTTGAGGCTCTTAACGTAACAATCTATTTTCTGATCGAACCGTTTCAGATCACACTCCTCCAAAAACCCAAGGATATTCCATTCGGACGTTTTACGTTCAAAATATTCGTGTATTAATGACATGACCGTACTGAATTGAACGAAGACAATAATAATACTAGTATTTCTTGAAGGCTAGCTTAGCTATTAAACAAATTTGTGTAATCGGATGCACGGTTCGATAAGTTCGGTTTCGGTTCGATTTTCGGCGGTCTGAGAGTAAAATCGAACCGTAGACTACCGGTTTGAATTGTAGTCTAGACCGAAGTGTAAAACCATTCGATATTAACAAAAAAAAATACCACCAAATATCGCAATTATTTTATTTAACAAAAAAAAATAAAAAAAAAATTAAATCTAAATCTTAATGGTTTACATGTTTTTAATAAATTTTAAGGACTTGATACCTTTTTTGCTTAAGAAGACGCCATCGTTATATATTGTTCTCATGGTAAAAGTCGTAATATCTAATGGGTTTCGAAATTAACCGCTTCCTCTAACTAACAAAAACATATAATATAATGTTAAAATAAAATTTGAATCCAATAGTTCGAATACGACTATAAAAAAGACCTCAGAGCTAAAACAAAAAAAATAAATAACAAAAATTAACTTAATAATCGCAAAAGTACTTATCTTTGAGATAAATCCGTATAACCATTCTTTTATTTAGGCTTTAGTTTATGATTAACTTTGTGGCTTGAAATTCTTTACTTTAAAAAGGGTGCACACACACAATAGTAGACCGAAGCATTCCACAGGCAAGATATACGAAAGAGCGCGTATTTTGATTAATAGATTAGTTATTACGCG